TCATATACTTTATATCCACCTGATCATATATACAGCTAAATCAGTAGGAAAAACAATGTCCTGGTCAAAATTATTGTATAAGTGTGTAGTGAAATCAAATACCTTTCTAACTATATATAATTAGTAGAGGTTTTCTTGCCATTTTCAAATAGAGCCGATTCTGCTAGGAAACCTATCCCTGTCCTTTACAAATTTCTTTTCTATTTTTATTTAAACAAAATGGAAATACGTACTTTCGATTGTCAGATTGAGTCGAATAAGTTGAGATGGTATAAATTTACCTTCGAAATTTGAATTTTCAATTTTGAGATAGATATTCAGTGATTTTAGTTGTGGCGCATTTTGAAAAATTGTTTTGAACCCATCAATTGAACATTTTTCAAGTTTCAAGTGATAAAGATTAGTCAATGGTATCGACTGCAATGCATCAGTATAGTATATATGCAAATGATTGAGTTGAGGTATTATTCGAGAATAACTATTCGACAAAATCGGGCGCATTCTAGTATATTCATTTGAATAGTTATTATCTTGTAAAGGATATTTATGTCGAATATCTTGACTATTAAATGACAGCATCCTCAGTTGTTTGAGTTTGTCCAAATTGGAAAAAATAGTTTCTAATGATTCAAATTCAATTTCGAATAATGTAAGTGATCGTAGTCGAGTAAATTGTTCGATTTTAAAGTGAGAAAAGAAAAGTTCAGATTGACCTGGAGTATCACCACCATCGGAGAGTGTAAGAGAAATAACATTTCTTGCTTGAATACGATGGCAAATAAGATCGAAGTCAGACCTTCGAATCGATTTTAAATTTAGATACCATGCAGAATAGGCAACTAAGATAGCATCGATGTGATCACTGACGTCAGAAAAAGTATAAAGAATTTCATGCGCCATAAAATAAGTGAATAAAGTATGTAGTATCTCGATTGGTAACAGATCCAACGAGCAGTAACGAGTCATAATAGTTGAATTGTTTTGTTTGTGTTCGATAACAGATAAACAAAACGTCAAAGAAAAGAGGCTAACATGCAAAAAAAATTTCTTCTTTATAACACCGAGATAAGTTATTTTATCATCGTCTGATAATATTATATTTGCACAGATTGTTTTCTATCTTCGTTATTATTGCATACATGTAGAACTCGAAAAGTTGTTTAAAGGTTCGAGCAATTCAACTGAGTTTTTGAGTTTTTAACTATTCAGTTGAATGGGAGTGGCGTGAAAGTGAGGATGAGAGCATCAAACCTTAATATAGCTGAAAACTGAAGAATTCGATTGCATAATTGAATGATCGAAATTAAATCTTCGAGTTGAACCAAGTTTTTGACTTCTATATCATTGGCTACAACTAGAGCACGAAAAATATCATCAGAATAAAGGTCAATTTTCAAATTTACGATTCCCTAAACAAATGAGAGAATTTTCTACATTCTGCCAGGTTGTTCTGTGTTCTTTTTATATTATTTTCATTTCTATCTTGTATTTTCATATACAGTGTCCCATAAATAACTTTACAATAAAAAATGTTAATATCTTTAGTCTAGTCCAATCAAATACTACTTTGAATTATCATCATTTACTTCAGAAAAGAAATGTAACCTTTTGTAAGATCTGATAAATCCATTCAAAGAGTTTTATAAATAATTTTTGGTTCTAATCTCACACAATGAGAAGAAAAAATGATAACAAATTCTATTGAAGGCATGATTCTAATGTGCATCGATGAAAGTTATACGAAAGGTCATCTTTTTCTCGACATATCAATTATCTTTTTGAGCTTCTCTGTATTTATTTATTTCATAATCTGTACTTTATTTCAAATCGAATCATTGTAATAATAAATATCAATCCAGTCACTATAGAAATAATATATGTTATAGTAGATTTGATATTGTGTCGGTATTGATAACTTTTCACAATGATTATAATAACAAAAAGTTCAAGAAATATATTTCAATATATATTTTACAATAAAAGTCAAAATAATAATTTTATATTTCTCTTGTTCTTTTCTCATGATGATCAAAATATTAAATACAATATAAAGAAATGAGTGTATATTGTTTTCCTTGAAAAAGTTTGTTAACTCTTAAAAACTTTTCATTTTGATTTTATTAGAATGGTCAAAGCGCGAACGCAAGTGACCGCGGAACAAATTATCCACTCGAGAAAGTCCGATGTGGACTTTTCGCAGGCGTCAACGGGGGCGATGTGCAATGCCCGCGCCTCAACCTGGAGTATTCACGTTTCTGATCATGAATGCATCCGTGGCAGGTAAGTATGCTTATTTCTTTGTATTCTTTACTCTTATGTATTCACACAATAAGCATAAATTGCACAGTAGACTAACGCAACAAATAGAACGAAAGAAAAATAAATTATGACTCATCATCAACAATGTTTTCCTTCCGTTCTTTTACTTCTATCAAAATTTCGAAATTGAATCGTGTATAAACATTAGAAGAAACAAACTCAAAATCAATAGGTAGAATTGCTTTTGTCAATACTTGATGATGAGAAAACTATATATATTACAACTTTTCTTCGAAAAACATATTAATCAAAACTTTATTTATAGTCATTTCCGTTTAATAAGTTATTAAAAAAGAAAATGTGTCAATAAACTAAGGATTTGTATTTAAATATTTGACCAATAAAATTTGTATTAACCCGTGGATCAAAAAAAAAAATCATACAAATACGAGTGGTAGCCCAGACTCAGTCACTATTCAGATTGGATCATAAAAAGACGTGTCATCAACATCTCTGATAGTCATGTAATATTGCAATGTAACGTAATATCGATCTATGAAAATCAAACTGTTATTTAAAGACGTTGAATGACTTTAGCTGAGCTTTTTATATATCATCACAAAACTCAAAAATAACATTACAAAAAAACCAATGTCAATAGCACCTTCAAGTTATAAAATCAAGAGTAAAAGTTATAGTCAGATAAGGTGTAGCTATCTGTACTACCACGCTATCATCATTGGATACAATGACAGTTTCAGAAAAACGAATGCTCGAAACTGTTTCAAACACATATTCAAATTGATGACAACTCTTGTTCTTATAAAGTAATCTGCTCATCGTTAAGCATATCGTCTAATGCCACGGAAAACTCATTTAAGAGTGTAGGTGTAGCTGGATAGCTGACCTCAAAAACATTATCCAGATCCACACCCATATTTTTTATTTTTTCAGAATTAAAGTCTATTGTTTATAACCACTAACTAAATATTTTAATCGAGGATTTCGATTCACAAATAAATTTTCCGTGGTGATATATTGAGTACCTGATTGAATGTCGTATCGATATAGTTTAATTGATTTCTCCGATGATAATTAGTCTATTCAAGAGAATCAAAGCAATTAGAATTAGATACTCACATCCTTTTTCTTTGTGTTTTAATTTTAATTTTTGATGAAACGAGAGCGCTAGAAAAAAACTTTCGATGAAACAAGAAAATCAATAAAGCTTTCGACGTAACGAGAATTCATCCGTACATATATTTGATATTAATTTATCAAACAAAGATTCGATACAAATACACAGCTGACGTTAATTGATTAACATGAATTATTTATCGAGTGCTCAACTATTGAAAAAATTTTTAAATTTCAAAGAGCAATATCTTTATATAATCTTAGTGAAAACTTTTTTCAGGGCGGAGGGATTGATTCCCCCAATCCTCCCCTTAAATACGTCGCTGATCCACACTCACACACCCTCACATATATTAATTCAGATAGCATATCATTTTTTATTCTCGTCATGATTATTTTATGGTATTTCTTGAGAGAAGTTTCACTTTCTTTCATTTTTCGTAATGTAAATATAATCAACGTTGAAGAAATCGAGTTAATTGGACTGAAACAGATAAAATTGTATGAAATAGAAAGAAAATAAAAGCACGGCCATTTGCAGGACTTTCGATAGTTTTTAGAAACGCAGTCGTGTTAAACTTTCAAGTTCGACATATATTTATATATCATGATACGTATCTGTGCACGACGCAAACTTCAGAATCTATTTGTTATCAATTTTTTATTTTTCTAATCACATTTCATTTTCAGAAAATAGAAAAAGCAATCTGGAATAAAATATAAAAAAAAATTGCGATTAAATGCTGTCTTATTTCATAATCAATTAATTTGTGGAATAGTAGTATTAACACCTAAAGTGCTAACCATGTTTCCTATGGCAATTAACATAAAAAATTTTTGTAATTGAACTGCTTCGTCAATTGTTAAAACATGGGGCACTTCTTGAAGTGATGCACTCGAAGATGAATAGAGACCACCTAAAATACTTTTTGTTTTGTTGATAAGCAATAGATCAGGAGCTAAAGTCCAATCAGCATCAATATTAACAATAAAAAATGAAGCCGTATTTGTGATACTATCACCATTTTTAAATAATGTTAAACAACGATATTTGCCATTCATTTCAGGTGAATAAACATATTGAATTTGTTCCCATGCAAAATCATTCGAATAAGTTAATCCAAGCATGAAACTACCTTTTGATGGAAGATTATAATCCATAATAACGGCATTGACGAATTCATTTGCATTAGCACGTGGAATATCGATAGCCTGGAGAATCGTTGTTTTCTGATTGAAATAAGTAAAGCCAAATCGAATTATTCTTTCAATAGTCATCGATTTACTTGTCTTCAATGTCTGTATAATTTCTTTAAAAGTACCAACAACTGTTGAAACTGAATTAGCCAGAGCCTTAATTTTGTCAGTAACACCATTGGATTCAGTTTGATTCGCATTGTTACGATATATTTTTGGCATAATTATTTCTGTATCAAATGAAGATAACATACGAAATCTTTGTGGAATTAGTATAGTTGCACCAAGAAATCGTAACATATTTAATACAATTCTTGTTGTATTCTTTTGCCATGATGTTATTGATGTCAATAGATGTTCATTGAAGAATTCACCATTGGAAGATAATGTCGATGTACGAACAATATTCAATTGTTTGTTTTTATTAATCATATGAGAAGAAATAGAATTTGTAGTAGTATTAAGTAGTAGTATTTTAATTAAAGTTTTTGAAGTTATATCTACCGATAGAAAATTAATTGTACATGTTGAATTATCGATAAGTTGTCCAAGTATCCAAATGTATTTGATTAATAAAGAATTATTTTCAGTATCAATTTCTGATGAAAATAAATTTTCATAAGAGAATTGTGGAGATTCTAATTGTTGTGAATAATTTGGGTTGGAATAAATATCATCAAATTCATAATCTTCGGATAATGTTTTCAATATCAATGGTAGATTTTGTTTTTCAATTCCATTAAATTTTATTGCTTGACTGGATAATTTCAATGATGTAAGATTTGTTTGAATTGCTGTTATGATTGAATCATTTTAAGATGCTAATATTTCAGCTTTTGTAGTTTTGTTGGATAGATAATTTTCAATAGCATTAGTCAAGGCAATATTTTGATTGTCAATATTATTATTTGATCCGATCGATTTTTCTAATGTACTTCGTGACAAACTTTGTTGATTGAACCAAATGAATTGATCTGCTGTCATTTTTTGTCTAACAATATTTAATTCTGCTGGTGTATGACCACGTGGTGTGGAACGTTGTTCATCATGACAACAACATCGTGACATCCATAGACATTTAGGACATTTATGGCATACTCGTTCAGTCCAATATGAAAACAATTGTTTGATTTGTGCATTTGTATTTATTGTAACATACATAATTGCAAGTGGTAAATTTGGATCAACAGACGAAGATATTCTTGTTACAACGACTAATAATGTTGTTAATGAGGCACTGGATGCTACATCGAATGAAAATGCTTGACCTGAATATGTTCCTTCTGCAGCAGCTAATGCAAGTAAACGAACACTATTTACTGCTTGATTACGAAATTGTTCTGGTATTGCCCAATTAGTCATGACAGAGTCAAGTGTAGAGACTCCAACATTTGCTTGTCCATGTGAGCCAGATGATGTTGGTGATCCCATCAAATCAGCCCAATTTCCTACGATAGATTCAAAATATAACAGTTAAAGTAATGATGAAATAAGGTCTTACCGGGTACTTGTACATTTAACATTGCTGCTACTTGTTTCATAGATGAAACAGCATCGGAAGATTTTGCTTGAAATTTTATTAATGGAGATTGAGAAAATGCCGTACAGATCACGAACAAATTCAATGTCAAAAAGACAATAAAATTGGTTATCATGTTTAATAATCAATCAGTTGAATACGTATTTTTACCCTAGAATAATGGGATAAGTTTCAAATAAAAAATGAAAATTTTGAAAAAATTGATTAAGACGGTCAATGCTTTATCGAAATTTTCTCTTTTGGAAGAGCAATTTGAAACTCCGAGAGAACAAAATCCGATTTTTGAAGGAGCACTATCTTGTTTAAAACATTGAAGAAGACATTTCTCATTAGTTAGAATTAGAACTTTTTGATACTGTACCTCTTTTGTTAATATTTGCAAAATGAGACGAGCGAATATTTCAACGATTTGATAAGATAGTTGTTCGAATAATTTTGATTTTGATAGTGTAGCTATTGAAGAATACAAATACTTATATAGCCTCTAATTTTTTTCTTTGTGCGTAATTTAAAAGGAACTAGCGGCGAATTCATTAGTTTATTGTGGATCATTTCTTATCACTTTTTTCTTCATCCAGACATCAATAATTATTGATTTTCTTACTTCATTGTTTGTCATTATTCTAATGATAACATTGAAATCAAATAAACGTCATAATAAAAAGGTCACTTATCGTTGGTTTTTCAAAGAAAAAAAATACTGTTTAAATCTAGATACCACAATTGATTATCTTTTATTGAGGAAGTTGTCGTCATTTAAACCATCCTTTCAGCGACACATTTTTTTCTTTCTGTTTTCTGTGAGTCTCACGATATATTGAAATTACATCGCACTTGAGACTTATATTTATTTTCTTGATAAAATACAAAGACTCAATAGAAAGAATGAAAAAAAAAATAATGCAGCTGGTTTTAATATTCAAAATCAGTCATATTAAATTATTTTTCTCTTTTACACATTATACGTATTTTACTTCATTTTTTATCAAAAAAAAATAAATCAATTTTTATGATCAGTCGAATGCAACCATCTTCGATAGCAAGTTCGCCCGTAAATATCTATTAGTTATCAAAAAAATAAGTACACTTTCATATAAAAAAAGATACGCTTGTAAAAGTTCCATCTAATATTTGATAATTTTTTAATTCGATCGCAACTAAAAAAGAAAAAGTAACGAGACAAACGTGTGAAAAAATTCACAAAGTAAGATTCTTGTTCTGTTATGGGCGTGGACTCAAGGTCTCAGTGAAAACAAGAGTGATATCCACATAGCCTACACACGCCCATTGCTACAGCCTCAGAGCAATGATCTATTCTTTCTCACATTCATTTTCTTGGTGCGATCTGTTATACAAAGATGACAAGCAGTTTTCAAAATTTTATCTTGATCTTATTATAGTAACGTAATTCTGTTATCGAAGTTCTATACTTGCATCGATAGAAGAATATTTCAATGTTGCGCTGCAAGAAAAATTTACTAATGGGTTAATCATGAAGATCATCTTCACATTTGCTCATGAAAATGGCCGTATATAATCAATCACGGATTGATCTGTGGAAATGAAATCTAATGTTTTTGATCTGAAAACAATTTGAAATTGATATTACAGTCGACATCAAAAGTATTTCTCCACTTTTTTGTTTTGAGTCATGTATTAAAACTACATAACATTAATTTAATTTCATTATGTATCTATATAGTAGAGGTCAAGTACTATATATATACCTGTTTAATATGAAGAACCCTTAAATATACAATACAATAAAAAAATCAAACTTCAGTGCTGAGAAAAAAAATGAGATAAAAATTCCCAAAATGATATTTTGGTTATAGGATACTTTCATGGACAGTCAAGCACAAAAAACACACAATGTTCAGAAAACTTTTCATTCCATCAGACTTTGTAGAGCTTTTTTCGCTGATCATTTTGGTAAAAAAACATTTAGAGTTTCATTGAAAAATGACGGTGTTATAGTCAAAATATTAAACACTTTGAAATCCCGAGGGCTCCAAAATGTTTACAACATAGTTTGTTTTGTGAATATCTCTGCACAGACAAATGATAAATTCTTTATTTTTTCTTCAAAAGATGTTCCGTGAAAAGCTCTACAAAAATTATAAGAACAAATTCCTATTGATTTGTTCTGATGGTTTCTTCTATACTCGAAATGAAAAAAACATACATGGTAGTGCTACTTCCAATCGAATTAATATAATAAAAATGTTCGGAAGACTTTTATGTTTTGCATGTATCTCGGCTAAAGGAAATGATAGCACCTTGGTTTTTTTTCAAAAGATGTGCCGTCGAAATCTCTATAAAAGCTGTGTAAATTCTATAAACAAATGCCTATTCCAAAACAAAAAAAAATCTACCAAACATTTTTATTATCATTTTGCGAATTTTTATCTCATTTTTTTTTCTCAGCACTGAAGTTTGATTTTTTTATGTATTGTATATTCAAGAGTTCTTCATATTAAACAGGTGTATATATATACTACTTGATCTCTACTATATAGGTGTATAATGAAATAAAATTAATGTTGTGTAGTTTTAATACATGACTCAAAACAAAAAAGTGGAGAAATACTTTTGACGTCGACTATACACCCTCGAACAAAAGTCTTTCCCCCTCTTTATTTCTATACTATCATACTTTGAATCAAATTTATTGCCGAGTAAAGATATAACATAAGAGTTTTATTTCAATATGGTATAGATCACACTGAAATAAAGCTCTTATGTCATATCTTTATTTGGTCATAAATTTGATGCAAAGTATGATAGCATAGAAACAAAGAGGGGGAAAGACCTTTATCCAGAGCTATAAATAACTTAAAGAAAGAACATTAAACCTTTTTCAGTCAAAGTTATTTAAATTAGTTGCTTATGTTGAGAATTGGCTCGCGTAAATAGAATTGGTTTAAAATAAATGTATCACCAGCTTAGTTATTAGTTTCTAGCTAATTTGAATGAATATGGTTGTCTACGAAGAAACAATTTACAGAAAAAGAGCGATTGAATAAACGTTGAGAGTGAATTTAGATTCTTTTGTGTCTGTTTCGAAAAGCAACTTGGCATCTTTATGCGAAAAGAAATATCTCCTCACACATAGGAGGGATATTTCATACAATACGTCTCATTGCAAATCTTCAGAGATATATTTTCTCCATTTATGAATGAGACCTTCCATGATAAGAACATGTCAGAATTTCTAGAAGAAAGTACACAGACGAAGCGAAGTATTAACTAAGAGACAGTGGATTTTTACCGATGTTCTTATTTCAGAAAGATTACGTCATATGTGACACGTTTGGATGCGTACCGCATTAATTAGGTCCTATAGTCGTTGGAACAAACATTTTCGCAAAGGAAATCTAACAAGTTTCTTCATAGTACGTACGCTGCAAAGGAGCACTAAAATGACCTCAAGACACGCTTTTTTATACAGAAAACTTTTTTTTTATTAACTTTTCTGTCCTATTAGCTTTTTCTCATGAGTTGTCCGACTCAAGGCTAACATGCTGCTAAGACGATGGAAGCAAAATATTGTCCATACTAAAAAAATTAAGATATTAACATGCAATTCAAGTGTCAGCAGTGGAGATCAGACGCTCCTAAAATGGTGATTTTGTGGAAGATCTCCTGAGCGGTAGGAATCATGTAGAAAGCTGAGATTTTTATTGGACTATGTACTCAATGAGATCTCTCCATAGCCAATATTTCAACTCTCTTGCACGATTCCTTCATGAGATAAGCATATGCACAAAATACTGAAAAATGGCTATTTTCCCATGTGCCTGATAGTATTGCGCACCTCTTCAGTAGTTTATCCATTTGAGCTCATTTTTTTTCAGTAGTACGCAATTATGATATCTATTCACAATAAAAATTTCAAGTCAATTGCATGTATCCTTGGTGAGATAAAGATGTCACAAAAATTGCATTTTTTTTTTTGACGATAGTGCCCTCAGAAAAACTTCAATATCTCGAGAACGGAACAATATTTTTTCAAACGGCTTGCGTCAAAATTCTTAAAACTCTTACGCTAAAACATATATTAAATTGAGCAAAAACAGACGACCTCGATTGAGCAGCTTTTCTGTAAACCGGTCGTGGCTTATGTGGACTAATTCATAAACAAGATAGTGATATTTTATGCTAACACTTGTCCAGGCAAATTTCAAAATCCCAAAGTTTTGATTGTATACTTAAGTAGTACCAGGTTAGTAGTCTTTGAGAAAAAAAAATCAGCAAATTCTATCACGCTGATCTGGAGAAAGCCTATCATGAAGATAGACTATTTTTGGCCCTAATATATAAGGAAATCAGGGGTGACCTCAAAAAATTCAGTCATACTTTTCGAAGATATGAACATTATTGAATATGATGGTTGTATTTCACATCTCAAAATGTATATCTGGTCAAAATTTCAGAGCTCTATCGCGTACTGGTGACAAGATATCGTCAAAATAGCTTACACAAGAGATTGATCAAAAATTTCTCATATTAACAAAACTCTATTTTGAGTGCTATTAGTCGGATGAGCGTATCTCAGTCAAAGTTCAACCTTTAAGTCTAAAAATTTGGTTCTATACCTAAAAACATTTGCTCTACAAAATGGGATAACTTTCATCAAAATCTGAAACTATCGATTGAGCAGGTATATTGGCATTCGGTCGTCTCTCTTGTACAGTACCTCCTAGGCATAAAACCTCGAAAATGATAACTTTTCCTGTAGCTGGTGCTACTGATCAACTCATCAATAGTTCACTCTTATGAACTCATTTTTTTATGATGGGTACATCTGCCTGAGTTACGTTCATAGTAAAAATTTCAAAACAAACAGATGTTTCTTTGCTGAGATATAAATGTGACAAAAAATGTATTTCTGTGACGATAGTGCCCTTAGAAAAATTTCAATATCTTGGGAATAGGATAATATTTTTCCAAACAGCTTGCGTCAAAATTGTTAGAATTATTTCCTCTACTACGTAGCTTAAATCGAGCAAACTCTGACAATCTCGAATGAACAAGTCCAATCGTGGCTTACGTGGACTGGCTGATAAGTATAATAATACAATAATATTGTTAACAGTAACAAGTATGAGTGTGGGTGTTAGTATGCAGAAAATGAATACTCGCACTCACACCCGTCCCCACACTCACATCCATACACACACCCACGCTCACCCTAAATGCATTGGTATATTCCTTTCATTCTTTGTACAAAAAAGAACTAATCCTATGGTAACCAATATTATTAATGATAAATTATTTGTTTACTTAAAATTTATTTAAATCTTCGAATTTTATCTAAGTTATTCCCTTTCATTAGTACAATCAACTAATAATTTACTGTGAGTTGTTCGTTTTTTGAGCTTTAGAAGATGTTAGCATTTGTAAAAAGAAGTACATATATTTGCACAAAGGTACGTAGTAACTTGTAATCTTTTTTTTTTCTTTTTGATTACATGAAGTTATATTCATATGTATGTGTTTTTTTTTCTTCGGTCTATCAAATGGTGATACGTTTATAAAGAGCTCTTCATGATAAAGAAATACAAAAGAAAAAAAAAGTATTCACAGAACTGAAACTTATAAATCCAGTCAAAGATTTTTTTTTTTCATGACACACAGTACCTTCAAAAGCTAGTGTTCGTATTTGTTTGAAATAAATAATTTATTTTGAAAAGATATCAAGAACATATTTGAAAACGAAGCTTCTCGAGTTGTACCTCTGCCAAGAGCCTTTTTACGCTTCATATAGTTTTTGTTAATTTTTAGAGTGTATCTATTTTGGTACATATAATGCACTAACTATGAGAAAATACATACTACAGGTAAAACTATCAAGAAGAAGCAAATAACATCGTCACATTATCAGGAAACAAAAACAACTAACAACACAGTGAAATATACTGGGAGCAAATGATTAATTGTGTCGATAATGATATGAACAAGAAATGACGAACAAGCCTATAATATACTTAGAAACTTTTATCCTATTATTTTGTAATGCCTTTTTCTCAAGAGGCCATCATATTACCAATTTTCGACGTTTGAAAGAGTATATTTATACAGGTGACTTCTGATAAAAAGATAACTAGTAATAGGCATACGTCAAGCAAAAGTACAAGGTATTGAAGGAAAAAAAATACAAGTCGGTATATCGAATTCTCAATACAAAAGGAAAAAAGTACGATATTATTTTTCTTTATAATTATGTCATCCACCTTTAATTAACTAGATGCACGATTTAGAACAGTGTTCTCTATAGCTTATTTTTGAACTAAGACTAGATATTTTTCAAAAGACATAGAATGCAAACCTGATATATGCCTATTTTTGAATTCCTGATTGACTCACTATTCACTGGCAGTTATATTAGATATATTGAGCTACATAGGTAGCAGTCGATTGAATCACATATAGTTAGTGTCATGCAATGAAGCAATGATTTGTTGAAAAATATTAGAATATGTCTTGAGTACTCTTTTCATTTGTTATAATAGGATGATTTTAATTATTTTTTTTTGTTGTTGTTCACTTTGATTCATTGTTTCTGTTAGAAAGAACGTCTTCTTTCCTACTTCGAAAATGTGTAATTGAATAATCGAATGTGTACATTTCAAGAATTAGTACGATTTTTACGTTTCATTCACCAAACAAAGTGGATTGTTCTCGACGAATAGATTTTATTTGAAAAAAAAGGCTCATTGTTTCGTAAGTTACAAAAAATGCAAAACTCGACCAATATATATTTGGTTCTTTGTATACATGATTAGAGAGAGTTCAACCAGCTGATTCTGTTGAAACTCTAAAACCAGAATATATGGATTCATTGTGAAAACCTACATCCATCGCATCTATTTCCGATCTGTTTTTAACAACATCTATTAATAACATGATTATAAAATGTATAGAGTGTGACAGTAACAAAATCAGAATCAAGGACATTATCTTTTAATATCCGTTAAATTTTCAATTTATACTCTGTTAAAATAGACTGATACAGGTAAAATCTTATGACCAATCCAATGAATAGAGTTCGAAGAATTTTATTTGTCGTTTGGAAATTTTGAAAATGGTTTTAGTGTTGTAATAGGAAATCGAGCGATACTTTTGAAACATTTCGTGCTATTTTTTGTTAAATTCTGCTAATTCTCTTTTTAAAATGATAATTAGTTAGATTACATACACTCAATTTCTGAAAATTGAAGGAAGGTTAATCATTTATCAGCCTTGTACTAATTGATGATTTGATTGACAAATTGTAACGATTTATTTTCATAAAAAAATCTATTAGCGCAATCTTTGCATCATTAGAATGTAAAACACATTGTAGCTACTGTTACTAATCGCAGGGAGATTGTTTTATTCAATGTATATATATTCTAGGATAAATTTCTTCACACTCTTTTTGCTTGATCCTGCAAAACTGCAATAAGATATTAGTTAGTATATTGTAGCAAGCCGTGATTGATATACGACCTTAGATCGCATATCAACATCTATGTCACGGTATATGATTGCTTCTATTCTATATACAGAATATCTGAAAAGAAATTCCCTATTTTAAATTCTTCATTACTTTCAAACAAAAAGAAAGGAATATTATTTACTATGATGATTCGTGGTTCTGTAAAAACAAATGAACTTTTCTCTTTGGTTCTGCTTGATTGAGTAGGTAAAAAAAGATATAAGTATTAGTATGTGTTAGTGACTGTGACCTGTCAGATGTTTGGCTCAGATTTTGAGCATCATATGTAGTTGATCAGATTTCCAGACTAGTTTGTTCTTTCATGCGCAGATATGCCTCCAGAATGAATATTTCTCATTGTTTCCCCTAAAGAGAAAGTTTTCTATGATTAGTTAATATCTTTATATACTTGAGATCTTAACACACGATCATTATGGGAATTGGCATACGTGGTATTATTAATATTATTCGTTTACATTATGGTCAACAAAAGTTACCTGCATTACTCCTTCATAATTATGATGAATGGCCTCAATGGAAAAAATTGTGTTATAAAAATTTAATTGGTTGTCATGTATCTCGTATGCTTGAATTTAATGTGGCATTGATTTGTTGGTTATTTCTCTTTCCAAAAACATTTTCAGAAGCAAAAGAATGGCAACTTTGTTGGGTACTTAAGGTTATTTTATTTAATTTAACATGTGAATTTACTATATGCGGCTTTTGGCATTGGTTAACGTATGAAAGTATTTATTCCAAAGGTAAATTCAAAGAAAAAAAATTTAATCCAATCAATCCATATGAATGTCATGATAAAAAAAATGAACATCTTCTCGAACATGAAATTCTAATTAGTACATTGGGTTGGTTGCATTCAGCAATGATTCAATGTACAATGATGTGGCTTTGGGCAAGTGGTAGAGTGCCATATTATGCAGACTTCTGGAAATATCCATTGTATTCAATTTTTTTATTGTTGTTAATTACATATTGGAGACAATTTCATTTTTATTGGAGTCATCGTGTGATACATCCATGGTGGAATATTAATTATGGTTTAAAAGATGGTGATATAGGAGCGGTCTTCTACAGATATTTTCATAGTTTACATCATAAAAGTTATAATCCTGGTCCATGGAGTGGTTTATCAATGCATCCTATTGAACACTTTATCTATTACACGTGCACATATTTTCCATTATTATTTTCATGTCATCCACTACATTTTCTTTATGCTAAATTTCACGCTGATATATCACCAATAGGTGGTCATGATGGTTATGCTGATCCAGGTGGTGACTCTAGTTTTCATTATCTTCATCATGCTAAATTCAATTGTAATTATGGTTCGACATTGATAAATTTTGATCAACTTTTCGGTACTTATGTTGATTATAATGACTACAAAAAACTCTATTCTAAATAAAACTCAGAAAATACAAGATAAATAATCGAGACAATGAAGTTGTTTGGCTTTCTATAATCATGAGAGTTAACATGTACTATTGTCTGTTAAAAAAAAATAATGATCCGAGCTATTTTTGCAATAATTCAAGAAAGGAAAGAGTTAGAGAACTGCGGTTTTTATCATTCGAAAGAGTCGACACTAGGGCATCTTTGTCTTCAATATTGTATAAGATGAAATCATTTTAAAATCAATCATTTCTGCAAGATATTGCAAAAAATCCATGAAAACGGTCTGTCGTTCCGATGAAATTTTGGTTTTGATATGGAATTTGGATAGAGGGACTTCAGATCTATAGTTTAAGATATAATTTGAATGATCATCTTCACACATTATAATGTTAAGCAAATCAAATTCTTTATTTACTCCCTCGAAGAGGTGGGCCATGGGTGTGGATGTGAATCATCCTTTCACAAATACCCACACCCGCACCCATCCATATTTACATACTATCTAAAATATAACAAAAATAAACAGCAATGTATTTTCCGCGGCTTTCCTGTTCATTGATGTCTGCAGAGAAAATCGTTGTTCATTGTACATACTAGATCAGAAAGAGAGCAACGTCAGCTAATAATCTGCAACTCGACTGCTGTTTATTATATACTGCTAATAGAGAATCTGAGACAAACTAATAAGTGTATAATTTCCAACTAGTCAATAATAACTTTTGTAGTGGAAAAAGTCATGTTCTTTAACTTATAAGATTTCAAGTCTATTTAAGTTCTGTTAATTATGAGAGCGTTCGATATAGGACTGACCAACCATAATGTGCATCGCCTAAGGAAAAAACTTTATTTTCGATTTTTATATCTTGAATGAAAGCGTATGGTCTTGACACACTAAAATCAAAATATTAGCCTTTTTGAGCTGACTGTTCAAAAACAACAGGAAAAACACTGACACCACCCTTACCCCCACCCTCAAAATAGTGAAGATATTAAATTTTTCTATCGTAAAGATATTTATAGCACACTCTGTGCGCATAGACATTGCAGCAGCACATTATCAGTCAGCGTCATCATTCTTTCTACTTTCTAATAGAGAGTGTCAGAAAAGTTCAAACAAAAATAAAATATGAATCTTAGGCAAATGAGCTTAGTCCATTCTCAATTCATTGAAAAATATTGCGAATTTTAGTTGAGAAGGCATTTAACGGAATAGTCTATCTTTTGGTTTATTAGTATTGGATGTGGTGAGAATTCTCCAAAAATTGTTCTATATGTTCATTAGCCATGATGATTTTTTCACCACTTGCACCGAATATTGCACCTATTTTTCCTTTATATTCAAGACCAAGTGATTTCCTGTATAATTCTTGAGCCGGATTTCGCTCGCCTGTTATAACAAATACAAAACCAATTTGTGGTTTAAAACTTGAAAAATTTGTTTGTATAAATTCCTGAAATTTGATTAATGATCGACGAATAAGAGTCTTAGCAAATCCTTGACGACGATAAGTTTTATCTACTGCTATTTGATCCAATTCAACAGTCAATCGTACTTCGAAACCCGCTCGAATTCGCCAAAATATGAATCCAATGACTTGACTTTCTTGGCCGTCTTCTCGATTATACGTGATAACATACCATCGGCTGCATTTTTGTTCAGGTCTATTCCAATTACTCAGTATCCATTGATAATTACACTCATTGTGCGTTGAAAATGCCTCGTTTTTTAAATTCACTATACTCTCAATATCATCTTCTTCAGCTTCTCGAACTTGAACAGGCAATTTTTCATGAGATGTATAGTAATAAACGTCACCGTTTTCATCCGCTTTACAAATTTTGTTCAAAACTAAAAGAAATAATAGCAATCAATAATTTTGAAAACTAGAGTATCCTCTATGACTTACCGGGTTCAGACATGAACAATCAAAAGTACACAGTATCTTTGGTTTTTCCCTTAGTAATCAAGTAACCACTTATCTTACAAAGAAAAAAAATAATTGAAATGTGTTTAACAAGAAAGAAGGGTTACTCTTATCAACAACACTTCCATGATATATATATATATATGTATATCACCAGAGAAATGAAAAGAACATAATGATGATAAAAAGAGTCAAGTATGACCCAAATATTTTTGAAATGTCTTAGAAAAATAATTATTTCTAAGAGTATGCACTTTCGTCTTGATTTGTACTCTATTCAAAGGAACAATTGCAACATCTCAACACTGTTTTATGGCCATATGTGATGAACACACTACCATGAGCATGATGTTTTTCTCTTATCCTACACTTGAAAAGTGTTGTCTGGAAGTCGAAATCCTGCTAGATGATACTAGTTATCGATACTAGTAGCTCACTTATTAATATATTCAAACATGGTAATAACCTAATATTTAAAAGGAATAATAAATCATGATAAAAAGTCATGTCGTTTAGATCCAATTACTTGACCACAAAGAGACTATTAGTAAGAAAAAGTGATCTCGAAAGTCATGACTTATCTTCTGCGTCCTATTATCCACTACTCTGAAGTTATAGCATTGTGTTCCATAAAATTTCAGAATTCTACAATCAGTAATCATCATAACGATTATTGATTGTACGTATCAATCTCATTCTGAATGAATATTAATTTGCTATAGAATTCATTGTGTACATCATTTGTAGTTTCAGCTCTATCAACCCGAAAAAATGTTTTTACTAACCTCGCACATGCCTTACTTCGAATATTCACAAAAGACGCGAACACTCCCAACTTAAAACAAAAATCCTCAATACATAGAGCACCTTGAGACGAGTTCAAGAACACTCAACGATGAAAGTCAATTCCAAAAGATCATATCTTTGTTTTTAGAAGCGAATCGCATCAAGATCTAATGTTTTGGAGCTGACGTTCATTGTGCTCGAGTTTTGGATGTTTGTGACAAGCGAAAACCAATATTTTAAGGAAAAACATTTCTAATCAATAGATACTGGTTCTTCGTGAACTCATTTCTAGACGTTCTGTGCATTTAGGATATTAGTTTTTAGTTTGAAGGGGTTCAGGTATGTTCGTGTCATTTGCAAATACACTCTTTATTTAACGACGAAATAAAAGTAACTCACCTCTACTGTTTCTTTTTATTCTTCGTCTCTTTATCAGTAACAACAACAAATGTCTTATCAGTGAATATACATTTCTTACACAGTGACTTGCAATAATCATTAGCATATTGCCTCTGCAGGGTATGGGTATTGGGAGAGGGTACAGGTGTAGGTATGTTGATTGTGGCATGGATGTAGGTATGAGCGTGGGTTCGTGACGTGCGCGCGTGACTGTGTGAGGTTTGGATGTCGCTGTGGGTGTAAATCTTTGTAGTGTGGGGCATAGGTGACTATGTGCGTGAATGGAAGTCTCATTCGTATCCACAACAACGTTCACATCCATATCCATATCCAATTGATACAGCGAATTTTACATAAAAAATAATGATATTGTTCGAAGAAACAAATAAACAAATACTAACAAATTGTTCAAGTAAATAAGTTTAATCAAAACTAGAGAACGAATGTGTCATTCCCACCTACGAATTGATTTCGTTGTCGTCGTTATCATCATTTTCTTATACTTTTACTTTCAGCGTGTTATTTTACTAAAAAACATTTGTTATGACACGAGAAGTTTTTATCGCTACAGTGGTTATGAACTACGAAATAACAAAAAATATTTTAATTTATTAGATCGATGCCGATCAATCTTCTTTTCGCGTAAATCTATACACATTACAGTGACTTAATATCTATAGGATGAGTCTGTAAATAGAACCAACAGAAAGAGATGCCATATTTACATTTGACTGCATTTCATCCTTCATATCGATCGATTACTTGTTTACACGAGGAACATGGTTTAAGATTGAGATTTCCTTTGAATGCAATAGGAAGAGAAGATCACGATGTTAGAATACTTGAAAATTTTTAATTTATAGTGATACAAACTTACCTATGTTATATATTATTAGTCTTAACTCTAGTTTCGTTTTTAAAAGTACTAGATAGCTATCACATGTTGCGCTCATATGATATTCTGTTTCACACCTGGTACATTAGTTTTTTAGATAAACATCGCAGAAATATGATTGCGGATGTTTCGACTTATGATAAATCTAAAATCAAAACAAAACGAACTCAAATTAATCTGAATGTTTCAATGATGTTCATCTTTGAAATAAAATTACTTCAAAAAATTTGAAAAGAAAATTTCTCTTCCGAAGTAGGGTTCCTGATGAAGGGATTGATGCTTTTCAAATGAAACCGAATTTTGAGACACTACTTGCTTCTGTGTAATAGAGAATGAAATAAAATTGGTAATGAATGCCGTTGCTATCTGAACAAGATTGGGGCAAGGCGTCAACTGATGAGTGATTGGGCCACAGTAGGCATCGTTCTTCTCAATGCTTTCCTCATATCACCACTTCTGGTAAACCAAGAATGAAAGTACACTCTGTAACAATTATCAGGCCTTTTTGCCAATATTTTAGCCTCTCCTAAATCTAAATAATATCGACAAACCAGCTCACATGAACGTTATCATCTTACTTGTTTACAAGGGTGTGGGTGTGGGTATAGGTGTATATGGTAGAATAGAATAGCGGCACTCATAGCAACATTTATACCCGCATTTACACCTAGATTCATGAAAGATTAAATGACAATCACTAACATAGGAAAGAAGAGAGTAAAAGAAAAATGTAAGGAATAAAGAAGTGAGTGATTGAATGAAGCAATCATAAAAAACTATACACTGGAGAAAGTGTTCACAACAAATAATGAATGAAAGAAATATGATAACTAATGAGAAATAAAAGGAAACAATAGAATAGTTACCAAGTAGAATTCAGACCTTTGTAGACGTGTCTTTATTAGATAGTGTATTAAACATAATCAAAACTACAGCAGAATTTTTTGTCGTCATTATCGATTGATAGACAGAAAAGATTCTATTAAATAAAATAGAAGTCTATCAAGCATTTAAGTAAACCGAAAAATTTTATCAGAAATTCTAATCTCAACTAGACTTGTGACACTTCCAGATCAAAGAATTGAATTGGTATCAGTCATCCAGTTCTTTTAAAAGGAATTAATGTTGTTTTCAAAATAAAAGGTAGGTTGCCATTTTCTAAATAACTTTCGCTGCGTACAAGATGTAGACCTGCAATTTTCACCGTTCGATTTGGATCAACAGTTTTTTCTTCGCGTATTCTCACAATAATCTCAACTCAAACTATATCAAAATGTAACTCAAATTACTCTTTTTTTCCTATAGAAAATTATCGCATTTTTTTGTAAATCCACTTAGAATGAGAGGCTGAGAGATAATAAAATATATGATAGTCTTATAGAGAAAAAAGAGTGATTTGCACTATATTTTGATATAATTTGAGTTGAAATTATTGTGAAAATTGATGAAAACACGCGAAGAAAAAACTGTTGATCCAAAAGGGCCTATAAAAAAGTATCTTTCATCCTAATGAGTTTTTATACAGATCGATGGTCCAGACATCGCTCTTTCTAACGGTGAAAACCGCAGGTCTATATCTTGTACACAGCAAAAATGATTCAGAAAATGGTAACCTACCTTTTATTTTGAAATGAACATTAGTTGGATGTGAGTGTGAGTCTATGTGAAGACATATCGTACACCCACATCCACACACTTGTTCACATAAATGGTCATCGCTTTATAATAAGGCATCTGTTCAACTTGAATTTTTAGTTTAAAATTAATAAATAAATACATGGGAAGGAATATATAATTCTTCATTCTAGCTTGAATTAAGCCCATGAATTGTACTTATTTGATAAGTTTGTTTTTTTGCAATTGAATTCCAATATAAGGTCGAACTAATGTCTAAATCATAGACAATATTATTCTTTCAAAATTTTGTATCTCAAATGGATTGCATCAACGACTACCTAAACAATTTTTCAAAAATCTAGTAGAATACTATTCTTTTTTTATTTATATAATGCGCTCCGCTGTTTTGGGTGGATGTGGATATGGATGGGTGTGCGGGTGCGGGTGCGAGTTCGAGTATAAGTACGGATGCGGATATGAGTGTGGGTGTCGTTGTGAGTGCAGGATGAATGTGTTGGGTACGGGTACGAATGAGTGTGGTGTGCGCGAGAGTGGGGCTAGGGTATAGTTGTGAGATGGTGGTGTGTGCTCACAGAAAATCTACATCCACACCCACGTCCGTTTATCATTCTATTGTTCTCTATATAAGTTATCAGATGTTTTATTTGAAATGAAATTTCGCTAATTAGAAAATTGTTTTGAAATAATTCTAGATAATCTTTTAATGTTTTCCTCATATCTTCTATATGACTATTCTTAAGTTGAATTGTTTGTGTCAATTTATTGATTTGTTATTCTTTTATTGTTGTCTCATTAATTGAATAATTATAATGATAAACAAAATATTTTTTTTTAAATCTAAAAACAAACTTGATATTGTTTGTTAAATAGTTCTAGTTGATTATGTAATTGATGAATGAAAATTTGTCGATACAGAAGTTTTTTTTATTAAGTTGATTTATATTTCAGATTTCCAATTAATTGACTAAAATAATAAACTTTCAAATGAGAATTAAACTTTAATTACATCCGAGACAATCTACAATAATCTGCGAAACAGATTATTTTTTCAATCGATTTATAGGTTTTCATGAATTTTAATCGAATTTTCTACAAAAAAATTCGAGTTCCACACTGATGATCAATAAAAATCGTGATCTTCTCAGGAGTATTTTTTATTGCGTATTCGGTGAGCATACGAATTCTGTTACCAACTTTTTTCCATCAAAAAGCTATAAACGGGCAAAGAGACATGGAGTTGAAGTTCTATTTTGAAATCCACTAGTGTTTCTTGAGGTACTTAAGAAGTAACAGGTCGATGTTTTTATTATGAAAATCATAGTAGAGAGATAAAGTGAATGAGAAATCGTTGCGTACAGTAAATTCAATCACATCAAGGAATTCAAATGGCGTTATCATTGAAGGTCAACAATAAATGCCTAACACTTTATTTGAGTTGCAACATCAGATCATTTTACAATAATCAAAATCCTTGAATAACAGCGAACATGAAACTCAATACATTCATTTGCAAGCTTCTTCCTTGGCGCCTACTCTATGCATGACAAGAACGAAAGAGATAATTGTGGGTGAGGCAAAAAAAAATGTATTTTTAACCATTTATTTTCTTCACATCACTTACACACACGTAGATTCATTCGTTACAATGTCGGTGGCAATGTTTCTCTCCTTAGTCGTATTGGCTCTGACTAGCCTTGTTGCAGTGGAATCGTTTGCAACCAATCGAACATATCTGATCAAGAAAGATTTCGTTAGTGGTCTTAAAGGAGGTGAATTTTCTATTTATGATACAGCCGGAAAGAAGCAACAATATCGTATGGAAACGAAATTTCGTGTGACACACGATGTTCAAATATTTCCTGGTGCATCGAAGAAGGGCACTTTGGCAAAGTTGAAGGCCAAGGTTACAGCAATAATATATAAAGCTGCCATCTCGATTCTTGAACCTAAAACAAGTCAGTGGCAGAATGGAACCATTCAACAAAACTACAAGATCGTCGGAAATAAATTCATGATCGATTGGGGTGGCCGACGTGTAGTCATGGAAGGTAAACCATTTTCATTAGATACAATCTTTCGCGATGAAGCAGACGGAACCATATTGGCTAAGTTCCACAAACGTGTCAGCTCGTTATTCTGGAGAAACAAATATGATTTACAAATACTTTCGGACAAACTGCCTGATGCTGTCTACTTTCTGGGCGTTGCAGCCAGAGATCATACTAACAAGAAGATTCACAGCGGTTAAATTTGATTTTATTCAATTTAATTCTGCACGAATTAATAGATTGCTTTTAGTTCTTAAATAAATGATAATCATTATATTCTTTGACTCATTTTCACAGTTCAAAATCAATTCTTTCTTCCTATTTATGCTTGTTTACGCATACCAGTGTGTCAATATAGTATGTTATGGTCTATGCGAATCAGCTGAATAGAGTCAATTTCACGGAACCAATATCATGAACATCTCTGAATATACACATTAGATATGAATGAGGATCCTCAAGATGGCAGTACACCGTATGTCGAGATAGGATGAGTCCAAAACTGTACTCTGAATTTAAAATAGTAGTGTATTTTCAATAGAATTCTGAAATTTCTATCAGACTTTAAATTTAGACAGGTTTTTAGCAATACGCTTGAACTTTCATAGAATTATCTACATGAGCATAAAACTGTAAGGTTAAAGATGAAGATGGAAGATACAAAGACGATCTTCAATTTGATTGACGGTATGAAGATGTTTGAATTCTTTCAAAACTTTGCTGATCTTTTGTGGGGAAATGCTTCACATTACAATGATATAAAGTTAGATGTTGTATTGTCGATGAAATTGGCCATTTTATTTAATCTATTTCATCTCTTTTCATTATCAAGGTGGAATTTTGAAGTCCAGATCGTTCTATAATTCTGGAGAGATGAATATCGGTTGTACTCGAACAATAAGAATTATCTCTCTCTTAAATTGATACCGTGTTCCAATATAAACTTCAAATATTGATCTTCAATACGAAGAAGTGTTAATGAACGCAGTCGAGTAAATCATTCGATGGAAAAGAGTGTAAGAAACAAGAAAATTTGACATGGTATAGTAGGTTTATCAGAAAATGTGAATGAAATGACATTTTCTGGTTGAATAAATCGATAAATTCGAACAAAATCAGGTTTGGAGATATTACTACAATTCACTTTATAACTACTATTGTGAAAATAATCATGTATGATAGTATTCAATCGGTTACATACATGATAAAGTGAGAAAATAATAACTTGTACGTCGAAATTATCAAAAATACAATAAATAAATTCAATAGGTAATGTATCAAGAGAGAGAATGAATGTTGTTGACATCAATAACCAGAAAAAAAAATATCTTCAAAAATGATTTGAAGAGCTTGTATCTTAGCAAATATTGATAAGATTTCTTTTGGAAAGTAGATAAAATATACATTTCTTCGATCATTCTCAGACTATAGCTTTCGACAACCAATAGAGAAGAATTGAAATATAACACAGAGGAAGAAGATACCGACTAGTTCACCATCTATCTTTTGAAACTTTCTTTCAAAAACATAAACCTTAATATAATTAAAGAAGGAGACTACATTCGCATCTGAAAAGCAGTAATCGTAGTCGTAGTGAAATATCGAGATATAAAAATGAATGTTGCAAGGATTTGAACTTACTTTTATTATACAATCATCGTAATTCATTAATTGATTGACAAGTACTATTCCGTAATAAAATTATCTTTGTTAAAAACGTATTTTTCGTTAATCTTTTAACATTGTTCAACCTATAATTTTACAATAATTCTAAGTTAAAAAATAAAATTTTCACTACCGATGCACTTTCATATAATCTATCAAATAATTCAATTTGCCACAATATGGTTACAGGAGCCGGTGCATATATCTTGTCGTTAAACTTTTTTTTTATGTTGGAGGTGGTATGGTGATATGAAATTATCAAACCAATCATTGAATACTTTTAGTTTTAGCAAAAACTCTATATTTTTAGAGTACGATCACTTTTATGTGATATATATATATATACACTCTATGTAACATAACGTATCGTCTATCTCACAGGCACTTTTCTCATTAAAGTTGTCACACTCTCCATCAGCTTTTATAGCTGGATGTGGGTGTTGGTCTGATTTTTATAACCCGCACCAAATACCCAATAGATCTTACATAGTAGCATTTGATGATCGACTCTATAGCTCCAATATCGATCAAAAAGGTATCATTTCATAAAACACGAATACTGTTATATGTTGAAGTGTATAACGAGAAAAATTGTAAATCTCGCTCTCGTTTCTTTACAGACATGCAGACACTTTCAGAGAAATATCTTTGACAAACTCAAGAGAACATTTGATATTCGTTAGGCTCTATATTTCAATAAACACATGACACTCGAATATCACATTTTAATTCCATATGAATGACTTTCGAAACTTTTTTTTGGTGTAGCTGTAGCCTACCAAATATATGACTCCACGAAAATGATATTTTTAGCAAGTCAACTATGTTAATCGAATTATATTTTTAACAAAAATTGTATCGATACCCATGTTAAAATCATTTTCGAATGTGAGAAATACATAAATATGTTTCAAAATCTATGAAAACACTACTATATAAAGATTTTCAAAATTTTCTCAAACACTTATTCTCAAAGTTATATCAATCTTCACAAAAGAGATCCTTGAAAATTGTGAGAAATAAGCAAAAACATGAATTCACTTCTATTTCTATTTTACTCGAACTACGTAGATCATGTTGACACGTTGTTCCTTCAGTTCTTCAGATAAACAGAAAGAAAAAAAAACAAAAAAAGCTTATGGTTGATGCGCAATCTATTCACACAAAAAAGAATACAACCCAAAGAAGAACATGTTATCATTTACAGTCGTCATCGTTGTTTTATTTCTAACAATTTTATACTACTATGTGAAATATGTCTATTTCACATTACGTGGTCCAATCCCTGGTATTCCACCACAATTTCTTTTCGGTAATCTATTACAGACAGGTATTATTTGGGGAGATGAATCTTTGGCTAATGTATTGCTCGAGCTCAAAATAAAATTTGGTGATGTCTTTCAATATTGGTTCACTTACACACGTGTCATTATTGTCAGTTCACTTGAAGATATCCAACATATATTTGCCCATCGGAATGTGTATGATCAAGGAGATACATTTATTGAAAAGTTTAGTATTGTCAATCCAAGTGAAGTCGCCGCCTTAAAAGGTTAGGCAAATTTCAACTTAAGAACGTTAAAAATAAAAATGATTTGATTTCTATAGGAGCTAAATACAAGCGTCACACAAGTGTTTCATATCCATTGTTTCGTGGAAGTAAAATATTTATGCATTTAGATACAATTATCGATTGTACAGATAAATTATTAGATCGATGGCGTCAAATCAATGATTCAACTAAAATTTATTTGAATATGAATGAACAAACACAACAACTTTTACTTGCTATTTTTGGTTTTATTGCATTTGACTATGATTTACAAATACTTGATAATGAATGTGAAGAAGGACAAAAAGAACTTGTCTCTTCAATGGAAATATTTTTTAATACAACAGTTAGAATTGTAGAAATGCCAACGATCATCGGTCGTATCTATTTATTTTTAAATTTTAAATATCGACGAGCACGTTTAATTATTAATCGATATATACAACGAATAATTGATCAAGAATTGAAAGAAACAGTTGCAATGAGAGCAGAACGTAAAAGAACAAGTTTAATTGCATCATTAATTTCTTCATTACAACACGACGAAAATATCGAAGCAAAAAAACGGGAAGAAGACAAACGAGGTATCAACTATCACTAATTATTAAGTATAGAATTTTCGAAAAACTGAAAATATCTTTTATCGAGAGATATAAACTTTGAAAAAGTTCTATGAACTTACTCAAATCTTAATTCAACTTGAGTACTATTCTTTTTTTTTATTGAATTATTTTCCAAAGTTATCATAACTATCGCAATCGGGTCATAATCATTCGAAAGAGAGGACATCGTGGAAATCACATCTGAGAACACAAAAAATTCAATGTCGAAAACTTCAACATTCGCGAACTATTCAAAAACAAGATAATAGAATACATTCAATTTAAATGTAGTATTTATATCATAGGTCTTTCACGACAAGAAATAACCGGTTTGATACTTTCATTGCTTACGGGTGGCTATACAACAATATCGACGGTACTTTCTTGGTTCATTCATCTGATGAGTAAATATCCTGAAGTACAAGCGAAAATCAAGAAAGAATTAGCTGAATACAATCATCGACGTCTTTCAATTGAACACATGGAATCACTCGTGTATTTAGATTGTGTTCTTCATGAAATTCTTCGCTTTGTACCAACATCGATCGGTTCTATTCGAACACTTATTGTCGATGATCAATTACCAAAGACTGGAGTTCAATTAAAAAAAGGTGAACAAATATTTATTTCATTCTATAATCTAGGGCGAGATGCACGCTATTGGTCGAATCCTGATCAATTTTATCCAGAACGATTTCTGAATCAATCCGAAGAAATCGGTAATAATAATAAAGGAGCATTAATTCCATTCGGTGGTGGTCATCGTCAATGTGCAGGTCAAGATTTGGCTCGATTTGAATTGAAAGTTATTTGTGCACGACTTATGCAATATGTCACATTTGTCGATGGTGGACCTGAAGTCAATTCGGGAGGATATCAACAGAGAGATACTGTCCAACCGAAACATATTGGTGTTGCAATTAAATTCGACTAAAAGTGTTCATTGAACATGATCTTGCGCGTAAAATTATCTTTTCAACAGAATTATAAATCTATTAATGGATAAAAAAAGAAAGCTTTTTCTAGAATTACCCAGCTATTTGAAATAGATGACATCTAACTTTTTTAAATTATTCAACTACAGTAGATTGAATGTCATTTATATGAATGATGTGGATATACTGAAGAAAAAAAGATTTCAAGAATTGAAACTTTTCTAAATGTGTTTTAGGTTTCATGAATATCTCTCTAGCCGATGACATTTTCTAGTGAATCATCAGAATGTTGAACGCCTTCATTATGATAGTTCTTGGAGATAATATAATTTCATTGAGATCATTCTTATCTCGACTGTGGCATGTCAGCAGTGTAGACGATGGTCTTCACATTCACACTTGAACATTATTTCTGGTCGTAACTTGCTCCAATAAGAGTTGATACAAGGTGATGAGCTTCAGATAAATAAAAGAGCGGTTTTTTCGAAAAGAATTGTCCATGGAACAAGCCAGGTATGGATTTCGAATATTTTGGAAAGTTCATGTTCTTATTGAATAAGTTTGTCGACAAATAGCTTCTTAAACATAAGGGGTGAGTCATAGTGAATGAGCCTCGCACGAGGGAGGTACCCGAAGTGTTCTCTCGATTTTGAGCTCATATTTTGCTCACAAGTAGACCTTAATGTCAGTAGCCAAAGCCTACAAGGATTCGCGCTCATGGGTTGTTGAAGTCCCCTTATTACCATTTCACTGGATTTTCGATTTCAAGCAAGGCATTCATGGAAAAATAAAACGACGGTATTTTAACCTGAAATTTTGTCCATGAAGAGGCCTCATAATTATTAGAATGTTCTAAAAATTTCAGTCAAAACGCGTGCTTTATCCTTAAGATATTGAATTCTCAAAACTATTTAATTTTCTGACTTTTCTATGGCATATGATCACTTTTTAATCATCCAATATCTTAACGATAAAGCATCCGTTTTGACTGAAGTTTTTAGGACATTCTAGTAATAATGAGGCCTCTTCATGGAGAAAATTTCAGGTTAAAATACCGTCGTTTTATTTTTCCATGAATGCCTTGCTTGAAATCGAAAATCCAGTGAAATGGTAATAAGTCGGCTTCAACAGCCCATGGGCACGAATCCTTGTAGGCTTTGGCTATTGACATTAAGATCTACTTGTGGGTAAAAATAGCTTGAAATCGAGGGGACACTTCTGGTATCTCCCTCGTCAGATATTTTTTCTGTTGTAGACGGCGCTGCAAAACTTTTTACTGGTATAATATAGCTGAAACTGTTTCTTTCTCGACAAATGAACCGAAAGCCGTAAGTGCTACGTCCGATAAATCGTTGGTATACTGGCGGCACTGCGACTAAACATGTGACATGGGATATATTTTTTTCTTCCAAAATCTCGCTAGAGGGACTCGAAGGTCCGTAGGAGACTGAGCTCTCCTTAGTTCAAAATCCTGGCTTCATCACTGTCATCAAGTTCTGGTAAAAATATTAGTTCTCTTTTTTGATAAAGCCACCCGACAAGTATACATTCATGACCATAAGATAATATATATAAATCTTTCAATATCAATTTGATCTTTTGATTTAAATCAAAGTCAAATTAAATTTACTATCTAATGAAAATGATCAACAAAGAACAGATACAGAATGCCCATGTAAATATGATATTGTTGCTGTTTTATTTTGTTATAATTCCAAAAACTAGACTTTTAGGAAAGAAATATTTCATTTAATAACTAAAAATCGAATAAATTCAAACTAACAAACTATATGATCAGATTGTGTTTTTAATGCTAAACATTCTTCAAGAGAATGAATTTGTACACATGTTATTTTATCAGGATATGATAACTGTTGATTTCTGATAACTAGATTTAACAAATAAATTATTCTTCCATCAATATTTACAAATACACATAATACATCCTTAAATAACAATTTATTTATTTTTTTGTTTTAGTAAAAATAAACAATAAGAAATACTTTATAATCTGTTCCGATGATTCACATTTATTTCCTTTTCAATTAGATCAGCTTTATTTTATATTTAAATTCGAAAAAGAAATTGGCAAACGATTTTTTTTTAATAGTTTAAGAAATTCGACTTGATCTTCAAGTACTGTTGCTTTAATAGCTCTTGTTTATTACCTATTTTATTATAATTTTTCTTAGACATTTTCTCGATTAAATTGAATAGAACACACTATATTAAGCAGTTCATATTCAAACACTTTCTTTAAGCATGGAAAATGATGACGATACTGACTGAGACAGTGTTGGGCAACTCCAACTCGGAGTTAACTCCGGAGTTGACGGCTTTTTTCGTTGGAGTTGGAGTGGAATTTCACAATTAGTGGGTAGAGTTGGAATAGAGTTGCAGTAGATATGGAGTGGGGTTGGAGCGGAGTTGAAGTGGAGCTTTGAAATTGGTAGGGTGAGTTGGAGCGAAGTTGGAGTGAGATTTTGCAATTAGTGGGCGGAGTTGGAGTGGAGTTGAAATGCTCTGGAGCGGAGTTGCAGTGAAGTTGGAGTTGATGTCTTTTTTCTAACTCCGATATAACTCCGGTTTATTTCATGATCTGCCGGAAGAGAACGGGAAAAAGTCTACAGTAAAAACACGCGCATACGTGTGGTATTCATGACGTAATTAAGAAAACTAGGAATGAATGACCTTGTATCATTACATGGGGGGAGAGGGAAAAATAGAGAGATATAGAGAGAATTTAGAAAATCATTGGTGGTATGATTAAATATTATTTGTTAAACAATCTGGTGCATCGAACGCATATCTATGTGATTTTTCATTGTTGCTAAACAACCTAGATGCAAATGCATTCATCATTTGATGTAATAACAATTAACTTAGCTAAAGATATGCATCATCATGGCAACCGCTTTCGGTAGTGCTAGCGTCAATGGAAGAAAGTGTTGATTGGGGGACTAACGGGACCAGTTGCCATGGTAATGCACATCTTTAAACTTGACACTTCCAACACCTGATGCACAAAGAAGTTTATATTGAAAAAATTGTCTTTCTAAGCTTGTATTCAAATGAGTTTGAATTAGTGGGATCGGAGTTGAATCGAAGTTAAATCGGAGTTGGAGATGCATTTTAACAAGGCGAAGTTGGAGCTGGAGCGGAGTTTAAAATAGTATGAACAGTTGGAGTTGGAGTTTGATCGGAATTTTTGAAAATAGGAGTTGAGTTACATGGAGTTCGAGTGGTATTTTTGAAAATCGGAGTGGAGTTACCTGGAGTTGGAGCGGTATATACCCGGAGTTGCCCAACACTGGACTGAGATGTGAAATATTTTTGGGCATAAGAAAATGAAGTTTGTCTTCGGACGTATCCATGCGTATAATATATGGAGAAAATGATAAAATCATAGAATGCATGCGACACAATGGCTGCAGGCAACCCATAATTCATCATAATCCAAAATTCAAAAAATCCGATACACCATGAATTCAAATAACCAAATAATCCAAGATATAGATGCAGTTCACGAAAAGCTGCATTTGTTATAATAGCACTCGCTCCGATTGACCAATGAGCCTGATCATACAATAACCATCCTAATGTTTTAAAGAAAATCAAGTTTATAATAGGTGCTTCGATATTTAAATAGATCCAGCGACATAATCCAAACAAACAAAAATTCATTATTTTACTTGAAATAATATTCAAATAAAAGTATAGCCATCGATATAAAACTTCTTCAATTACACCGATCAATAAACAATCAATCAAACATTTGAATAGTGTTGATTTTTCATTTGAATATTCGACATAAAAAATATTCTTCTCTAAAGTGGTTTGATCACTGAATAGAAGAACCAATATAGTAATAATAAAAGCCCAAAAAAATATCGGCCATGATTGGTAAAGGCCATCAATGATGCTTTCGTAGTGCCAATAGTAAAATAATGACAATTCTGTAGCTGTTGGAAATATAAAACTAATAATCAGAAGTATGAATAACATTATTCCGATATAAAAAAAAGGAATTGCACTTGGAATGTATCGTGACAGATCCATTTGATTTAATGAAGTTAAATTTAATCGCGTATCTTTTTGATAGCCAATGATAAAGTAATAGATGCTGAAACTGGAAATATTAGAAGGAAAAAAACCGCTTCGTATGAAAAAATCAATACATGGTAACTATCTGTTCAAAGACTTTAAACATTACTTTTTTTGGGTGTGGGTGCGGGTGTCGACGTTGATCTAATTCTTTATGGACACCCAGATGCACCTACACTCAACCACATGCATATCCTGTTTGGCATTCTCTCTTTCGATTTCAATCAATTGAGAATGATCGTTCCCATTTCCATTCTCTTTTGTGCTTCTCACGAAGAATATAATAAAAATACGAAAAACTTCTGTCTGACGCATGTAGATGAAAAAGAAAAATTCAAGTGCTCTTACGATTAGTTTAAAACGTGCGAGTTGCGAAACAAGAACGTCAACACTGTTCTGATGATAGCCGAATATGAAATCAGTATAAAATCATATTACAGAGTGTTTTTTTTATTGCGCGAATTATTGGGTGGAGGGTGTGGGCGTGCGTGTCAGAGTAAGACTACCACCCACATCCACACCTGCACCCTCAACCTTCAGCATATAGATTCCTACATCTCACATCCACACCCAAAACGGATTCGGTTTTTTTTTGCTTTTACAACGCCACACTCCCTATGCACATGGTAAGCTGACAGACGAACAAAAAATACTCTGTTAAAGAACGAAAACAATCACTCATGCATTCCTTTGAAAATCATGAAACGCATTGCTTTAAGCAATTCTTTCATTATTTTCTCTTATATGATACAATTCAAAAACGAAACCTCATGATGAAGTAATGCTTGATGGAATCGCTTTCAAATTTCAATAAAAAATTTTCAAGCAACATACAAAGATGAATTGTCATTTCTACGCGAAACATGTAGTGTGGAAGCATATCATAGAATTGAGGTTTTTCTTCCTACCGAATCAGTATTATCATGAATAGAAAATCAAATAACACCCGCCAGCTAGTATTTTATAACGAAGGAAAAACAAGAGCAGAGCATGTTTTACATCCGACATGGAGTTATCAATATATATATAGATACTTGAATAAAACAGATCTTTATGGCAAACATAATCTTCACAGAAAAAAATCGGGAATGAAAAGTAAATTGAAAACGAAGATCGAACAGGTCAAAATTTGACATAAATTTTTTTAAGAAGTGTGTTATTTACTGGTAACTTGTTAGATTCGATTTGCATTCTTATGAAATCTGCATTCAGTACATAAAATTTAAAAATATCTCATGAGGTTCTAGTATTCATGAGACGAAGCAAAAGACATTTGTTGATAGAATAAACCATACTCATACAATTCTTGTTTACAGTGAAGTATGCAGGTGAGTGACAAACGAAAGTAAATTCATTTTTATATTCTGCATCGGACCTCTCTACATCACCTGTGTTTGTCATGTTCGAAACATAAACAAAAAAAATTACATTATGATTGACAGAACCTCACTTCCTCAATTTCTATTTTTGCATTCTGATAAATACAACATAAAAGTATATAAAAAACAACATTTTCTGACAGTGAAAATAAAACATGAGAAGAGTTCACTAGCTTATAAGTATAGTTAGATTACTCTTCATGATCGTTATAGTAGAAAGTAAACTCAGGCATCTAAACGGTTGAAATAAGTCTTCATATGAATCGCGATGTGTAGTGGTTGTTCTGGTGCATTTGTTTACTTTCGATGGTAAGAAGGAAGATAAACAAAACTCATTTGCGTATGCATTATTCATTTTAACGTATTCGAAAATATACAATTCTATCGAATACTGACATGAAGTTTGCATGATGTGGCAGAATGATGGACGTACAAAACGATTCATCATCTGCAGATGTTTCAGCTGAGCATGTACTTCTTTCTTTTTCTACGTTACTGTCATTTATTTCAGATAACAATCAAACCATCGGTTGAATAAAAAACCAGCTTAAACAAACAACGCCGACATCAAATCCCGTTTATACTGCTGAGAAGTTTCGTCAGTAAGAATCGATTTTTCATTGTTTCGGATGGCATTCAAATCTGAGACGTTCGCGATAATGTTAGGCTAAGAGGGCACTGTAGGAAATAAGAATACAGGAAACTATGTCACTCTCTCTTATCATCAGTTTGTCAAAATGAATCAAGTGACATAGATTCTTTTTTGTATTTAAATGAATAGCAGAATCACTGTCTTTATATTTTTATATTGAGCTAATTCAAATGTTTTCTTATATACTTTAATTATCTATCTTATTCTGTGCATAGATCTTCACGTCTATATTGATATGACACAGAACATAACTCAAGAAGAACGAAATGCACAAATTGATGATATTGGCAAGTGTGGATTGTGCTTAGACTATTTTGAAGATCCTCGTGTGCTACCCTGCTCGCATACGTTTTGTTTAAATTGTATCAAACAAACAGCCATACACAATAATAATCGATTCGTATGTCCTCTACGTGATGGTACAACCGTCGAAGGCTCTCAGCTTGATTCATTGCCAGTTAATCTTGTAGTTCGCAATATAATTGATATATTACATCAAAGTAAAGGTAAGATACAATAACTAAAATTAATGAAATTTCTCATACAACTTAGACAATAAAATTGATCAACGACGAAGTCGGATGCATATAAATTGCTCAATGATCGAGTCTTTTCGTTTTCTGTTGATTATTTATGCACTGATGTTCTTATCTTGAATACGTAAATACCTCGGATGATCATAGATAGGTTGTAGATTTTATATCTTTTATGAATTTTTAAAGCATCAATATATGTCAGTTCTGTAGTATATGTTGGATATGAAAACGATAAAAGTATTAGAAGGCCCAAATTTGCATTCCCTTAAAATAAGATGCTTTGCTTTTGTTGAAAAAGAAGAGGAATGAAAGACTTTCATAATATCAAAAATGATTGAAATCTCTACTATATTGATTAATTCGTTTTTCAAGAAAACGTCTATTCTTACTATTATTAGTTCTCACGCATTGCCATTCATTTCGAATTGAAATAATCGATACTCTTCCATTGGAAACCGATACGCTCCGCAATAATTATGCGTTTAATACTATTCATATTTCTTTTTTTTTTATTTCTAACTGTAGCTTTTGTACAGTGTTGTCAATGTGGAAAAGAACCTGCCAAAGCATGGTGTAAAGATTGCAGAAATCAAGGTTATTGTCCAAAATGCTACCAGGATCTGCATCAGATGCCAGCACTTAAGAAACACCGTCCATCAGAACCTAGACCACCGAAAATTTTCTATTGCTCGATTCATCCGAACAAAGAATTGGAATACTGGTGTGAAGAGAGAAAGAAAACATACTGTGCAGATTGTTTGGCCCAAAAGGACGATACTTTTAGATGTGAACCAATTGCTGACATTATCAAGCAAATAGTTGACAAAGTTAGTCGAAACATGAATCATTGTTCTTTTTAAGTAAAATGTGTGTCATGTATTTAGATGGGTAATACTTTCAAGACTTATCTGTTTTCGTCAAATCTACAAGATCACATAAACAAAATGTACATGGAATATGACAAATATTCAAGTTTAAAAAAATCTGATATTGCTCAACAATTTGAAAATCTACGCAGAATGATTGATGATCATGAAAGATCAGTCAATGAAGACATATCGAAAGTTGACGAAAAAAATATGAAACAGATGAAAGACTATGAATTAAAAGTTTTAAGCTATCAGCGACAGTTACGAGAACGGCGGGCATTGTTTCATCAGACTGTAGATACGGGTGACTATGTACGAGTTCTGCAAGATTACCAAGATTATCAACAGTATTTTAATGCTATGGATGAAGAATGGTATAAAATAAAGCCTCCTAAAGTGATTGAATACAATATTCAGGGACTTGATGAATGTCGAACTAATTTGCAACAAACGCTGAGAAACGTATGTACGAAGGAAGAACCACAATACGAGAATCCGCAGCTTGAAGAGTTCATTGCTAAACAAGAAAATAATTCAACATTGAACTTAAACAATCAAGGATTGACCGATTATGATATGATCATTGTAGCTCAAACAATTCGACTAAAAAAGGTAACAAAACTGAGATTTAGTTTCTAAATTGATAACCATCTAATACACATAAACAATAATCTACATCAAAATTATGGACGATATCAGATATTTTTATGGAATAATGAAGCCAACTGATATTGAAGATGTAAAAGAAGCTAAGCATTGTATTCTTTCACTGATACGATTCAGTTCGATATCATCGTGAAGATTTGAAAACAGTCAAGGAACTGTATGCTGAGATGCATCGTTAAATCATTTCTTTAACCATACTTTCTTTTCCGCAAATGGATTTAGAAGATTCAGGTATCTTCATCAGTTCTTCCGAAAGCCAAATATTTTGACTTTCATTCTTAATAGCAATTGACTAATCCGAAGTGGCCTATTCACAAAATCTTTATTAATAACAAGACATCCAGGGATTCATTGAATATAAAATGCAGTTCTCATAGAGATGAAGTTATATTTTTAGAATAATTTGTTAGTCATGAGTTTCTAAAAGGTTATACTCATTCATCGATACGGAAGAAAGACTTGTCATACATGAATGAATGAAAAAATCAACATGAAATGTGTATTTGAATTTCAGAAGAAAAAGAAAAACTAGAGAATCCTAAATGCAATGTTCACTTTTCTATTATCTGGCAAGTAGTTAAAGTGATCATTATTTAAGTAATCGTAGGAACTATATATATTCAAGATTTTGAACATACAGAAATACACTTTTCTCAAAGCAAGAAAGATTCTATGTATACAATCGTGCATTGATCTTCGATGTTTCTTATACTTTTATATTTGTCTAGATATTTACTACACTTCATCTTGGCAACAATCAAATCAAGGCGGCTGGAGCAAAATATATTGCAGAATCGTTAGAATTTAATAGGGTAGTACAAAATTTTGTTTGATGTCTTCCTTCTTTAGCTTTTCTTACAATAGACACTTACGACACTCGACCTTTGGAATAATCAAATAGGCAGTGAAGGTGTACAGCATTTTGCTGAGGTCCTGCAAAGAAACACGGTAACATCAACTCGCTTCCACGTGTATTTTCGATCTCATGTATCTTTTTATTAAACTAACACAGATACTCAATTGTTTGGGTTTGAATGCCAATCAAATTGATGACGTAGGTGCCACATATCTCGCTGACGCTTTAAAAAAGAATACGGTAACACATACATAACTTAAATCTCTCCGATATCTAAAGTCTTCTACATTTATAGGGATTGACCGATTTATCATTGGCTTCAAATGAAATCACTGATATTGGAGCACAATCTCTCAAGGATGCTTTATGTAGCAATAAAGTAGATCAAAATTATTTTTTATTCTTGCAAAAATCTAATACGAATTTTATGACATATAGACAATACAAAAGTTGCAACTATTCCAAAACAATCAAGTTTCGAGCAAAGTTCGAAAACAATTGGAAAAACAAGAAAAACGATTCATTTGAAAGATTGTTCATTTTTTTTGTGATTTCTCATCGAAAACAGATGTTTCGTACTATGACATTAATGAATTCAAACAACTAGTTTTCTACCTGAATACTAAGTTCGAATCGAATCGAATAAAAGAAAGTACCCGAAGAATCATGTGTATCTATATGGCTCGTTGATTTGAGCATATTATTTATTTAATTTTAGCTTCGTTGTCTGTTGTCGTAAGATTTATCTCAAGATAATCAATCATTTCCAGGATTTTGACTGTATTTGGAATCAATTTCCATGTAAATAAAATCTACGGAAAGGTTAGATCATGATGAAAGTGTCGATGGCAATGAACTTGTAGCAATGTCTATCATGCGCAATATGCTCATTATATTGTATATAGGTTCGCATCATAATCAGGAGCAATAAAGTTCTCCAGTATGACTTTATGAAAATATATATCTTGTGAGATGTGATAGATAATAATAAGTATATTTTGACATTTGTCTTCCGATAATTAGCAGCCACTCTTCCTATGAATATGTTTCACGAAATCTATAGTCTAAGAGCACAACTAATTTGATGCAACCGATATTTTCGATATAATTATTAAAAACGATAAATATTTTATGTTAGAAAAATAGGCACACATTCTGATCATTCTGAAGTTTTTCTTGCAACCTATATATAATTCTGCACGGTCGTTATTTGATTTTCTAACTCAAACTTTAGTTTGCCGACGGAGTATCGTTTTGAATTCAATATCCAAAGAAAAAAAATTGATTTGTTTAACTTTTTCTTTTACTGTTCATCTGATAGGTTTAAAATGACAAAGCATACAAGACTAGGGTGTGGGTGTGGATGTGAGTATTTTTTGTGTTAATGCCCACACCCACACTTGCACTTGCTGCTGCATACATTGATAAAGATCTCGACATAAATCCAGATGAAATATTGAAATTATACACACAAATGCATCATCATTGTCTTGGTTTTGATGTTTGAATTTGAAATATAAATGTAATAAATAGAGACATTAAAAATAGACTAAAACACACCTGGCTCAGGCTTAAGATCTGAGTTTGATGCATATTTGATTAAAAGAGCCTCATTTCATTTTTCTTTGTGTTTATTTTTACGTTATCAGTACTTTGTTGGGCAAAAACAAATGTGGTCTACTGTCACGTAGTGAGGTTCACTATTGTTATTTTCTGTTTATTTTGTTTTGTCTTGACAATACGCCGAAGTTACATATACATATATGTATTGTTTTTCTTTCATTCTGTGATCTTTTCTTGATCTTAACTAATATATTCATTATTGTTGATCAAGGTCAAGAAACATTATATTTGCCCTTGACTTTATTCTATTACGTAATATATATTTCGTCTTTGAAATAAGACATCTTAAATTTTGTATATATATTTTTCTATTCTTTCCCTTTATGTTGTGATAACTCTAATATCTATAACAATATTTCTATTGTTTTCTTTCCGTTCTTCTACTTTGTTGTATGAGCCATCACGATATATATATATGTTGTTTTCTTTGAAAAAGTTGTTGTTGAAAATCAGTTTCAAGTTAGTAACAAGATAGTTACAATCTTGTTATTCTTGTTCATTTCTGTCATCTGACTTGTTATTTGTTTCTGTACTTTCCAGTCAATAAACAAGTTATTGATCTTGACTTTTGCGTATTTACTTCAATATGTGACATCGACCGATAAAAATCTTGCCTATTTTACCCATCGTTATTTTCCGGCACAAGAGAAGTTTGCTCATTGGTCCAAAAATTTTTGTTACGCCGCTGCTTCACACTCAAGAACTAACTGAAAAAATAAAAGAAAGAAACGAACGCATCGATTCAGATCAACGCACATTTGATTTCACTTAGGCATTGGAGTTTTTAGTTGGTCTGCTCTGATGCACTACTCATACAATTCTCCTACAGCAGGATGTTGATGATCGTTATCGTATTTATCAGCTTGATGCATATAAGTATTGTGCATCGTATTTTTGATGTTAAACATATAGTCACTTCCTGTCAGTTCTAAAATCCAATAGTCATTGCTCACTTTATTTCCTGGCGTAGACGTTAGGATGTGGTTGTGGGAGTGTCGGTATGGTTGTGAGTCTAACTACATCGACACATCCACAGCCACACCCAAAATGTTATATCGTTAAGACTTTGGGACAATGACTATACACCAAATCAAATAGGTTTATTTATTTTATTGATTCATCTTCGACAATTTACTCGACTTCATTGAATAACTTTTCTTGGGATTGAAGAATTTCAATTGAACATGATTTTAAAACGTATCAATTTCAATTTCCTAATTTCATTTTCATTACATATTAAAGAATATGATGATAGACGAAGAAAAACAACATTAAATCATCTTTCATCAATTTTATCACAATGTAATCTTCGAAAATGTGAGTTGAATATGTGTTAACTATTCTTTCCTGTTCTTCTCAACTTCATACACTTATTCTAAAACAAAATTTATCGAACTTAATAAACAATATGAAGCTGCCATGTTCGTTTCTCCAATTAACTTTATTGACTATAGAAAAACTAGATGTTACAATTGATGACCTTGAATCATTTCTTTTGTTAATGCCATCTCTCAATTATCTAAAATTAGTTGTTGAAAAATATGTATTGGATGGTTAACGGTGCGAATAATTTATTCAAATAAATCTTCTTCTCGATTCGTCAATATGAATTAGATTCAAATTATATTTATTTTTCTAATTCGACAATGTTATTGAATAATGATTCATTAACAGTAAAGAATACGATTGAAATAATAACATATATGGAAATATGAAATAAGAAGTTTGTTATGAAATAAATTTTTGCTCAAATAGATATATTTATTTATTTATAGAAATTAACAAAAATCAATTCTATGTTTCCTAATGTAACTAAACTTAATGTGGAGATTTATGCACGATCTCCTCTAGATTCATTAGAATTTCTCACATCAATAATCCATATTTCAAAATTGGTTGAAGTTAAATTGGAAAATCATTATTTCAACAACGATAATCAAAATATTTTGTTTGAAATTATTTCTATTCTTAAACAATCATAGTCTCTTCCATTCTTGATCATTCGTAGTCATTATTGTAAATATGAATTGTATCCATCAGAGATGGGATCGATTCAATTCGGTTAAGAAATATACTAATTCCTAAAATTGACTGAAATTGTAATGGGAACTGATTGAAACTAGTTATTTTAGAATTACTAATTTTGCATATTTTTACATGAGCTAATTATTCGATCCCAACTTCTTTTGAATCAAAAAAATTTGAAACAATCTCATTTAAAATTGATATTCTAATACAAAGTATAGTAAAAGTTATAATCACTGTATGAATGCATTTAATTACGCTTCTGATCAAGCCAGATCCAAAACTTTCTTTATTTGAAAGAAAGATATAAAAAGTGTTTTTAAGACCAAATTCATCAACACTAGAAAAAGTAGTATTTTGAGTACAACACGAATTTAGGATGTGGGTGTGGATGTGCATGTGAGTGAAAATACACACCCACACCCACCCGCCAATTAGCTATAGAAAAGGACCAAACCATATTTAAATTTGGTCACCGATTTTTCAATACCAATTTTATACGAAAATGACTTGTCTGTCAACTTCCGCTAGAAGATGGAAACAAAAACAGAAAAACCTGCTCTTTATTATCGGACACCACTTCTTTCCAAAAAAGAAATGCATTGATTTCCGTTCCTCTTCTTCAAATGTCAATTTTATCAAGCTCCACACTATGTATCAATAGTCTACTATCAATGCGGTTTAATCATCCACCATCATCTCACCCACATCCACACCCACACCCATCATCACTCTCACCCGCTTCCTCTGATGCACATGCCTTTTCTTTACATTTTTCGCGGAAAGTTGATGTATGTGCACAAAGGACACTTGAATGGTTGCTTTTATTTGCGTAGAAAAAGAATCAGTAAGAAAATGGAAAATGGCACAGCTGGTTGACTATCAGCAGTTGGTTTTTTTCCACTTCCAAGATAAATAATGCAAAGTCAATATTCAGGTGAAATGACGATGATTCAACAAATGTTGACAACACCTTTTCATACAGACGAATCATTAGACACTGTTGTGCAGAGTAACCAACCACAGTACTTTTGGCATTCTATGCAATGTCTTCTACATTAAAAAGATATAGATTTCGTACAAAACTTTCAGAGTTTTCTATGTGTAAGGGTTCAAAAGGCATGTGAATTTCATACAAAAGAAAGGTTTTGTGTGCACGAAAGGAAACCTCCCATAGCATATTCCAAAAATTGTAGAAGAATCTTATTAAAGATTGAATCGGTGTTTGTCAAATAAGCACACCAACAAAAGAACCTGTCGAAATGGCAATATTTGCATACTAGTGTGAAGAAATAAGTATCATCAACTGGAGAACACTCACTGAAAAATCGCTTGTATTACGTAGAAGAATTGATGCATGATTCAATCAAGCTTAGATGTTCGAGAAATCATTCATCCATAAATGAAAGAGACTAGAACTAATTATCATAAAAATCCATTCAGATGTGGGAAGAATTGCAATACAATCTTCATAGGAACATTTTTCATCACACATTGGCTTCTCTACTAATAAGAATGTGAATGGAAAAGAGTGTATTTCTTTTCCTTATCTGCTTCAATTTCATATTTCGTATAAAGAAGAAAAAAAAACGTATCCTCATCATCAGGATACGATAAAACACATTGCAGATCGAATTTTGTACGTGATGATGTTCTTAATAGTGATTACGATGGCTGTCTATATCATCTGATCTCATTAATCGAATTACCTTGAAAAGTCGAAAAGAAGGTAATTTATATAGACCAAAGATATTCTTTACTGAATATAATATATGATCTTCAATCAAACCTCTTTTATTAGAATATAAGAGTAGTTTAATTGTGCAAACACATAACAAGCAATATGTATGTGTGATGGCGATGTCATCTTTAATGCTACT